AAGATTATGACACTTTGTGCCCAGTGCTCTATGGGCCAGTGGGCTCCATCATAAAAGTATAAGTTCTTAACCCGCAAATTAGCTGAGCGATTAGAATCATTAAGAGCTAATTAGAAATTAATTGTTAACAATGACTTGTTGCCGTGTATCTAAAAAAAAGTTTCTTGCAGGGCTATACTCTTGTAAAGGGATCACTTCATATCTCTCTTCTGCACAAACCTCAACTATTTCTATGTGATATTGATGAAAGCGGTATCTGTCTATATCCATTTTAACACAGATAGCTTTCCCTACACATTTTGGTTGGATTGGAGAAAAGGAGGAAGGAATTAACATTTCCAAAGGACAACAGATAACAAAAATAAATTGAAATCCCCTTTTAAGGAAGGAAATTCTTTTTGTTTCAATACACAAATTTCCCAAACATTATATTAAACGCGCTCATCTTCAAAGGGTGAAATAATAAACATTTGCCAAATTAAGATATTTCTCACTTATTGACACTTAATAGGACTTGAATGGACCTGGAAATTAAAAACAAGGTTCTTCAACTTTTGAATTACCACTTAAAATATTTGTCATTCAAAATGAGTGTATGAATTGCTAATGACTCATGGGCTTGTATTTCTTGGGAGGAGTTTTTGAAACATTTAAGCACAGCTTTTGCAGGAATTCCATAAATTCAGAGCTGTCACTGAATGTAGGCAAGCGTTTTTATGTTTCATTTCTTAGAATGACAAGGGTACAAAAAGGCTCTGGTTAAGGATACAGTGTAGTTTTATAGTCTGGGGATTGTTTTTTTAATGTGTCTTTTCAGAGTAGCTTTTATTTTAGGCGTGTGCGAGTTTTTTTGCCCACGGTTTGGGATTTGAAGATATGCACACAAGAAAAGTCATGCTTTTCTGCATTATCAAATATTTGATATTTGACTTTCTCGCAGCTTGAGTTCTCCTAAGGCCCAAAGTGTTCAGAAGTGAGCAAACAGCCATGGATTTTCAATCCTGAAAATTCTTTGCGGTGACAGAGCAGCCTAATTGAGCCAGTGTTCAGTTTTAGAACAACTGTTCAGTTTTAGGATGGTAAAGGGAAGTCAACTGCTCTGGGTGTTTGATAGACATAATAAATGATTTTCTCAAAGTTTCCTCTTATATTTGGAAATTTATTTTGTAAAGAATATCTTTCAAAAAAAAACTCACTTGCAGCGAGAATAAACCCCTTCTTCCATTTAATCAGTCATCAAAGTATTATTGATACATTCAACATCTTAAATGCTAATTTTAAAAACAGTCCTTGAAGACTGTAGGTAGAATCTGTCTTTTAAATATGTACTTGTGTTTGTTTTCCTAGGAACTCTATTTTGTCCTTTTCTTTAAACGAAATACTTTAAAAAGTGAAACAGTATATATCACTAGAAATCAGGACTTTTAAAGCATTCATTTTATGGAGTCTTTGATAAAGAATAAGATAAGTATTAACATTGAAAAGACATCTATCTGCCTTTTCTGAAAGTTCATTTCAATTTTAGGTTTAGACTTTTATTACATCATTGACACCATGGTAGGAAATATTGATTGAGGAACATTGTAGTAAGAATATATTCTGATTTAAAAGCAGGTTTCTGCCTAAGGCACCTTTTTTCCCCCTCTATAAAATACATTCTGATTAGAAAATTGCCATTGTCTTTCAAATTTGGGAGTACTCACGTTGATCTGTGGTTGGGCAAAACTAGCTTGCCTGCCAACTCTATTTATTTAGATAAGTTCAGTACTTTCACTTTGAAAATTTCTTTTGAGTTAAAAAAAAGTTTAAAATTATAGTCATTTTATAAAAATTGCTTCTAGCAAGCAAAAGAACCAATGGAAAACCCATAATTTAGACAAGTACCTACATTTTATTTGCTCTCTGCTGTTGAGATTTAGAATCCCTTTCCATTTACAGTTTACTTTTCACAGAACATTATTAACTTTTTGGCTTCATACATGATCTTCTGTCAGATGCTTTTGATTTGTAATTTAGCAAAGTATAATAAACAGTGCAAAAGTCATGAATTTTGCTCTGCATCCTGAGCTCTGTGGTAGGGAAAAATGTGATAAAATGTGTACCTTAAGTCTTGTTTGATGATCTCTCAAAGCAAGTTTGCCTTCTGGAAATAATTTCTGGGGTTGAAGAGCATGGTATTAACAGATTTAATGTGGCTATTCAATGGATTGGCGAAGTACTATGTGAGGTTTAACAAAATGAGAGAGACAAATTGAACATCAACAAAAGTTACATCTGTGAAGAATTAGAAATTTAATTAGAAAAAAGGCAAACTTAAAAGTCCTCATTAACTAATCAGAAGTCAAAGTTACTAGTTGAGGATTCTTGAATTGAAATTCTAAAAAGTTCTCTTTTTTTTTTTTCCTCTGTATTTTCACAACTCTGTCAGTATGCTACTTGGGTATTCTCTACAAAGAGTTTTAAAAAACATTAAAGTAAAATGACTTCATTGTAATATAAGATGACCATTTATAGTGTTATGGGAAATATTTTTGCACTCCTAGGAGCATTTGAATTAAAAAAATACCAGATTAGGAGGAGACAAGGAACATATTAGGTTTATGGATATAAAGCAGAAAACATGAGCTTACTGGATGCCTAACAGCATTTTTCTAAAAACCATGAGATAGTTTTTTTTCTCTTGAATGGAAAGGTGCCTAATTAATTATTTTTGCAGCACATTATGTTTTGAGACCTTGAAAACCCAGAACCTTCCAGAGATTTTGGCAAACATACGAGAAAATCAGCTCCAATCAGAAATAGGTGTTCTTTTTAGATAAGTCATTACAAGACCATGTTTCCTTACTGTGCTGTAATCTTGTACTACACATAAAAAACTAAAAGCATGTGAAGTGTAGCATTTTGTAAACTGTAACTAATTTTGCTCACATCTGTGTCTAATTGTTGTCTGCATTCGCATTCTTGAGAGTAGATTTATTTTTCCTGGACCACGATGTGGATTCAGCTGACCAACCTAAGTGAGGATTAGTTGTTTTAAAGTTATTTTGATTAAAGAGTCATTTTTAAAAACAGTAACACACAACACATGGTTTAAATAATCCTTGAGACACAAAAGAATATCTGAAGTATACTTAATGAAATGAAGATCATGGATGTGGAATCAAAAGTTGTACAAAGTACAGTAAAGTCTAGCCAGCACACAAAAAATGTATGTTGTGAAAATGCATTTGTTTTCAGTGAGAAAACGTGTTAGAGTAATTCCTATTTTGAAGCTCATTTTTTATTAACAGATTTGGCTTTGAAATTTAAATAGAATAGGTTAAACCTCAAATAAAAATATCAAACTTTGAAAGTATACAAGGAAACTAACATTACATTTCTAAAATTATAGTATCTAGCCAGTGTTAAAATAGGAATGTATTTTAACATGTAACAGAAAGGACATTTTACATACTCTTTCACATAATTAAGCCAAGAGAGTTCTTAAAACTAAGTTAGTTCTCACCTATAATTTATTCCAGGTGTATAAAAATGGAAATGGGGGGAAGGAAATTTATCCTTGAGGTATATCACTGTAGTTTCTAAATGGAAACATTTACTCTTGTGTGAGAAAATTTAACAAAAAATTGCAGAAGGCTGTTAGCATCAAATGACCTACCTTGCAGGCATTCAAATACTTTTCATTAAATACGCAGGCATCTCTTTCAAATTATTTTGCATCCTGCACATATTCTTGAAAAGTAGATCTAGGAATTTCACGTAATGTTAAACCAAGATATTTAGACTTTAATAATGCTTTTATTCCTGCCAAAAAGGTAGTACTACTTAATGTCATAAATCATAATTAAAAAATAACAGGACTCAATAGTAGATACTTGGTTGGATAACTTTTGTGCCATTTGAGATTCTTCAGTTTATTCATCTTTGCTCAGTAACCCTAATTGATGTCTGTTCCGGTTGAATGAATATGTGCATCAAAGATCTAGATTTCTGAGTCCTTTTAAATGTTATGCAGAATGTTCTTCACCTCATAGTCAGGCATTTGCCAGTTGGTGAGCCAGCAGCCCACCCTCACCTGAGTTTATCACCTTGCTGCCTCTGGAGGAAGAACAGTGACTGGTAAAGCCTGCAGGCTAAGTTAGTCCTTCAGTGAAAGCCCAGATACAGATTCCTCTGGGGACAAAAGAGACCGGAACTCTGGCCAACTGAGATACTGAACTGATTATTCAACTCTCCATTCTCTCTCCTGATTTAATAGATGGAAAATTAAAACAGAAAGCAAACTGCTCTGGCTGTTCACCAGGCAGGCATGGATTTCCCTTGAACTTAAAACATTCACTGAATTTTCGGTTTCCTTGGGTGAATGAGTGCAGGACTCCAGGATGGTAAGAACTTGCCTTGGGCCATTTCTCGTTGAGTCTGCCATTGCCTGCAAATTGCCCAGAAGCCCTTTGGAGTAAACTGTTCAGTGACAAATAGTAAATACGGGACAAAACATCACCATAAGGAGAAACACTGTCTGGAGTCAAACTCGTGGGCGGGAACTTTATTTCAGCTGGTGAGAGCGGAAGATGAAAGATCTGAGGATGCTGGAGGGTTAATGCTTGAACTGCTGCTGTGAAACATGCTCATTTTGCTAATAGCTATCTTTTTTCAAGTACCTTTTCCAAGCTGCCTGGATAAGGCTGCTTTGCATGTTGATTGGGGGAGGGGTAATCCCGTTTGCAGCTGTCATAGGCCAGTGATGAATCACTATCCCGTCATTTGGCTGCTTCCCCCCTCCCCCCGCCACAAGGGGAGGAGGAGGGTAGACCTGGAGGAGGAAACAACAGTGGAGACCTCAACTTAAAGACAATATGCCTTTCACCGCTGCAGAATCCTCCTTTTTCTCTTTTGGTTAAAAGAGAGCATTGTCGTCCTGAGCCATGTGCTCTGTATAATTAAGAGCTGACACTGAAGCAGAGTAACAACAGCTTCTAATTTTTTACCCCTGATCACAGGTGCAAACATCTCAAACCAGTTCAGATGTTGCTGTTTCCTCAAGTTGCAGGTAAGGATACTGTTGATATTTGACATTCGGGGAGATTACCTCTCTATGACCCCCCTATCTATTTTTGTCTAGTATTTCTTAATTATTTCTATTAATAGCCTTGGTTGGAAATTACTTAACAATGTGTGTGTGTGTGTGTGTGTGTGTTTGTAAAAGAAAAAAAATGTTAAATATGTAGAAAGGGAAGAGGAGCCTGGATTTGAAAATGATTAGGGGCTGTACTTTCTGGGGTTAGGAAAACTCTGAATGTGTATTGAGAATTAGGGGAGAAAAGTTGGATTTTAAGCCATTTCTCATTTGAATCCCAAAGACTTGAGGAAGTCAAAACTCACTTTAGAAGTAAAAACTGACATTTGCAGTCTAAGTGCAACCTTCAAATTGACTAGCTTTTATTGACCCGGTGGGGGTGAGGAACAGACAGTCTTAGCTTCATACATGTAATATTAACTCCCTCTTTTTTTTTTTTTAAAGAAAATCGTAAAGTTTAACATAAAGTGAATAGGCTTTAGACTTCCAAACATTTGGCTGGCAGAGAACAAAACGGTACCTAGATGTGTTTTTAGTCACTTTAAAGAAATAGTCTCCTCTCTTCATTAAGAAAAGGTGAAATAGAAATGGATGGTTCTGCAATTGTGAGCATGAATAGGGGCTTCTGTCCCCAGTAGAGTAACTGCTGAACCAAAGAACTTTCTGGGAAGATTTCTCTGTTTTGTGTTGTAAAAATGCCCAGTTTGAGCAGGCAGTGGCATTGTTCTGATTTCCCCAAGTAGGTGACAGCTGAGGTGTCCTGAGTGCCCCTGTTTCTGGGCACTCACTGTATGCCGGCCTGATCCCTCCTCACTTGGGCTGGCTGTATGTAATCCACAGAGCAAACAAGTGAGCGGACATCAGAATGTTTTAATGCTGCATTTGTTTCAAGGGAAACAGAGGAACAATTAAGCAGTTTGCCAGAGTAAACACATGCATCAGGGCTATCTCATTCCCTGTCATTGGACTATAGGCTTCAAGTGTTTTATTTGGTTTGGAGACCCATTAAATTACAATTGGGCGGTAAATTATAAGGGAGTTCCTAGTGCTAACTTATTAGATGAAAGAGATTCCATAGAAAAGTGAATTTTTTTTTTCAATTTTACACTTTCGTGTTTTAGAAAAATAACACCTTAGGGTTTTTTTTTCCCCCCCATCTAAAAAGAAAAGCAGGACGGTCTGTTTTCTTTGATAATAAAAACAGATGGAATCATCTCATTAGATCTTGGCACTTGATGAGCTATTGAAGGAGAGAGAGATTTTTTTTAAAAACCAAAAAACTCCATACGATGTTTGACTGGATAGGCAAGGTCAGTGACATCTTTTAATTTTGAAAGGATGGCTGAAGTGAAAATATAAGAGGGAACTATTTGGAGTTGAAGAAAATAGATACAATGGGACTTTTGTGCGAATGTGTTTCAAAGGAGGTGTCAAGTCGTTAGCGCATTAAATAGTGGGCTTATGAATTTGGTACATCTGTCAAACGGAAGGCTTCTTGTCTTTAGGTCTATGGAAATGCAGGATCTAACCAGCCCGCATAGCCGTCTGAGTGGTAGTAGTGAATCCCCCAAACTCGATAACTCTCATATAAATAGTAATTCCATGACTCCCAATGGCACCGAAGGTGAGTGGCTGCCTTCTCACTGTTTACTTTGCACCTTGTTTCTTCATCACTGTGCCCGGTGTTTCTAGGTGGTTATGATTTCAGTTGTCAAATCCGTGAAACTACTAGTCTACCATTCATAGACTGGTGTTATTTCACAAAGATGCATATGTATATGCACAGTATACATGTGTATGTGTGCATGACATATTTATGCTTTGAGTGTATTTTTCCTTTTTGATTGTTCTTCACAGCACAGGAGCAATTGTAATTATTTTGCTCTATGAGCCATGAACATTTGAAATTATTTCCTTTACTTTCCCTTTTTACTAAATATAACCAAATTTGCTTCAGTGCAGCATTGGCCTGGAGTGTTGCTAAATATCAATAAATAATTTGTGTGCCTAATATTCATGTGACTTTCACCATTAAAATATAAAGAAGTAAAAGATACTGTTTACAAATATACAACCTCATTTGGAAGATAACATGAATTCATTTACTTTGTAAAGATTAAGTATATATTTCAAACATAGTACTATTCAATGATTTCTGTATAATACGTATGAATATTTATGTAAATTTTATGTAAGTAGAAATACCTACTTCAATGCATGTATACCTAAGTCTAAACATATAGGTAAAGCTATTTGTATGTATCATTAGCTGGTGTGCATGTTTATTTAAGTACTATGTATATTTTTAAAGCTTCATAGAAAGGTATGTTTTGTATTGTATTTATTTTCATTTTATTCTATTGAAAAATTTTTTCTTCGAAGATGCTATTTTTGCTTATTTATTCCTTATCAAGCCTTAGGACCTTCGAGCATAAGTTTCATTAGAAGTCCGATAGATTATCAGTCTTAGAATTCCATGCATAAACCAAACCCTAACCATCATTTCTCAATCACCATGATGATCTTTAATCATAGTTCTTAAAAACAAACAAAAAACCCCATGTCATAAAATTGTTTGTTTGGTGCAGTATTCCAGTATGTGTGAGGAAAGCCTTTTAAAACCGTTAATGATATGAAATTTCTGGTAAGAGACACAATAGTAAAATCAGTTGTTTCTGATAGGAGTTAACTGGTAACTTTCATAGTGACAGTGATTGTTTTTACATGTAAGTAGTCTGTATTTTCCTTTAATACCTTCACATTATGGAAAATGGTCTCTGTTAAAAGGAGAAACTTTGCTGACCCAGCCAAAAAGAAAAAAACCTCTGAAAAAGGTTCATTTGTAAGTGAAACTCTTCTCTGTCCCTATCAATAGGCAATCAAAAAGAAATCTCAGTTACCTATAGGAAAGTCATTCTAGTGTTTTAAGTAGATTTTATAGAGCAAATAAGATAAAAAGCCAGCAGTCCTTCCTTTCGCTCCTGTGGAATTTGGCTTCACGTGTGGGCATGGCAGCTGTCGCAGAATGGACTGGACTTGGGGTGCACTCAGACCACTGCAGGGCCCTGGCTGGCCTGCCCTAGACCAGTGTCGGCGGCGGGCAGGGTGACCGCTGAGGGCAGCATCAGGGGACCAGAGATGGAGATCTTTTCCTGTCATCCTCATCACTGTAAAGTCCAAATAAGACAATCATTTAAACTAACTTAAAGAACAAAGCTTTAAGTATGTTAAATTGTTTTGCTTAAGGGAATAGACCAATACATATTGGTAGGAATAACTGAAATGATGAGAGTTAATTTTCTTATATGTGAAGAAATAGGGGCAAAATGTTTTCATTTTGTCATCATTTCATTGGCAAATCTTCTACAAAAGAAGAATCAGACAATATTAAAACAGGGTATGTGTTGGAAACTGCCTCTTGGATGGCTTCATGTGAATGATGTCTGGTTGGTTTTTTAAGGGCATGTGAAATGATCATATTTCTGAATATTTACATTTAATAGCTTGATATCATGTTCATATTCAGGACTATGTACTTCATCAAAGTTTTACATAGCTATAATAAATCAAAAATGAGAAAATATTTTAGATAGCTGTGTAACCTGCCAAACCATCAGCCTGTGAGAGATACTTAGAAATTATTTCTTATCCTGAAAGAAACTCTTAATTTATCTTAGGCCTAAAAAAGTCTATTTCTAAGTCATATTTCAGACAAGTACCCAGTTACTCATCAGACTCTGTTTTAGGGCATTCTTTTCTTGTTGCTGTTTTTATCATACCTGTTTATTTACCTCTTTTGTTTTCAGGCATTCTTCACTGGGGTACTTTGCCAGGGTTATGGTAGTTAGAAAGTGAGGTGAGAGGTATCAGTATAAATTATCCAGAGAATACATGAAGTTTTAGTCCATTGACTGGGGTATTCAGTTTTAGTGCACAGTTTGAAAACGTGGACCCAAACTTTCCCCATCATCTGTGTGACAGGCCTGTTCAGTTACAAACAGCATAAGAAAGTTCTGGGTTATTATTAAGTTTGTGAATCAATTATCATGCCACTTACATATTCCATAAGGCATGTGTGTCTTTCCCTTCAGTCACCACTAGAGGAGTTAAGCTTAAAATCAGTGAATACAGTGTCTGCAAGCTTTCCTGGAATAGAATCTTTATAGATTTTCCTATCCCTTTTTTGAAATCTTATTTATTTCGAAACTAGCAATATTCACCAATGAATTAGTGGAATGAAAAAAAAAAAACCAAAAGAAATTCCTTAACTTTTCAAGGAGTGTTTAAAATATCAATCACCTCCCCTAAGTCCATAATAGGTATTTCAGGCTCTCTATGCCACAGTGGATATTTAAAGTGATTTTATGGTAGTCTAGTTGCAATGCGTCTCCTTAGTTAGGTTGACAAAACTTCCATTGAGTTTACATAGTTGTTGACCTTAACTCCACTTAGATAGGTTGTCTTCTTTCTCCAGGGCCTGCCTTTCTTTTTTTTTTTTTTTAATTTCCTGCAACCACTTGTTCCTATTATGAGGCTAAGAAAACATGAAAATCTCCTGTCTCAAAAACCATAACTTCATCTGAAGAACAAATAAGAAGGGAATGGAGTGGCAAGGCAGAGAATATTAAATTTCTTCTTAAGTTTGCTGCCAAATTATCATAAGACTCAGTGTTTGTAGGTTCTGTCCTCACAGGCTAGTGCCTATTTTCATGGTTCATCTAAGGGATAAAGACACTGAGCTACAGCCTCAAACATTGTGCTTTTTTCCTTCCTACTTGAAATATTCCTTAGTGAGATTTCTTGCTTGAATATTTCAGGTTTCAAAAGTTTCAAGCCTGCATGTTTGTATATTCCAACCTCTCTGTGAATCGTTATTGTTTTAGTGAACTGTGGGTTTCACCCAGTTTATAAGTCTTTGAAATAGAAAGCATAAAGAGGCAAAAATATAAAATAGCATGAGTGGATGCTTGACTTGCATTCAGAAAAGCACTGTTAGGAGTAATTTATTTCCAAAGGAATTAGTCAATATTTTAGATTACTGTTGTACAGTTAAATCTTGACTTAGACTGATGGAATGGTTATGGTGGTGTTTCTTTACCTGATTTTTTTTTTCCCTAGTCTTTTGGTCTTCCAGGACAGAATGGGAAAGATATTTGTTATTAGATTATTAAAGAATAATTTTTAACGCATGGGCTCTTGGGCGATCATGCTTCCATCAGGTAAATATGAGCATCTAATCTGAGAGGATTTCCAGCATATATGTTCAGGTCTCTCTATGGTAGAGGCTGCATGTTGATGTTTGTGTTATGTAAATGTGAGAAGTAGTTGGGAAATGTTTCTTCAGAAGGACTTGGGGATCTAGCAGTAAAGGGATTTTTATTTACATACCTAATTAAGGCCTTGTTTGCAAAGCAGTGATTCTTCCATCTTTGTTTTTTGTGGTTGTCTTAAGACCATGGGAGCCTAAGATTGGTCAGTTCATATATTGTTAGTGTGAGTGTTTATTTTTGGTTGTCTGGGGGTGAGGAGTGGGGAAGGGCAAAAAGGAGGTGTGAGCGGGCGGAACTAAAAGCTCTCAATCTGAGTTTTCTGGATTGTAAATTTAGATGCAAACTCAAGAAGAGGCTAAACTTGTCTTAAAGCAGAGGAATTTGCCTTGAAGTGACATAAAACCAGATGCAATTGGAATCTTTACTGCAAATAGGGTTTCAGGAATTCTGATGGTAATTTGAATAGTAATTTTGAATTGGTATATCAGATTTCCAAGATGATAAGAGATGCAATCTCAAATTAGGTGGCTAAATTTTCTGCATTTTAAGATTGATTTAATTGTGTATTGCATATTTTTGGATGATAGGTTAATTCAGTTTTACAAATTTCTGTTATCAGTAGTTTAAAGTTTACTTATCATTCCTACAAAGCTTAGAATGCAAATTATCTTGAATTTGTTTTCCTCACTGTAATTTTAATGTCATAAAGTATAGTTATATCCTACCAGAGTATTTTAAGAAATCTTATTTATGAAAAATATGGAAACTAGAGTGAATGTGTATAAAATTATGGTTTGAGGCTACATTTAAAAAACTATATTTGTATATTTGTGGTCAGATATTCTGTTGTCAATAGAAAAATGGTAATCTAATTTTATTATTGTTTACATTCTGCGCATGATTTAGTTCTGGAAGATGAAGGGACACTGTAAGTAAAGGAGCTTCTAAGTGACATTTTTAGAGTTTGTAGTCAAAAAATTGGCCTCTTTTAAATTGTTCTTTAGCAAAAGCCATGAAAGGATGAAAAAAAAAACAAGATTTAATATTTGCATACATAGTTATGGGAATAATTTTCACATACCTATTGATACTTAATAAAAATAATGGGTAATTTTTATAAATAACTTATTAGTCACTAAGCTGACCATTCTCTGATTCATTTCATTAATCTTCAGAGGATCCTCTGATCACCAACATAGTGGGTAGGTCACTGGGCTTGAATCCCAGCTCCATTTGCTGGCTGTGTGAGCTCAGGCATGTTTGCTTCTGTGTGTTTCAGTCTCGTCTGTATAATGGGGATAATAGCAGGTCTTACTTGCTGTGAGCATGATAAGTAAAACTTGTAACACACTAG